GAGTGTATTGCGGGTATCTGGTGCTGTGAAGAGTAAAATGACTTAAGAAAAACAACAACGGAGAAGAGACTCAAGAGGGGCAAGAAAAAAGAGTGGAGCCAAACGCAAGTCCTTCAGTGAGTGGGTGGAGATGAGGGGCCAAAGCTACAGAGAGGGCAGTGGGACATTGTCCCCGAGGGTACGTGACGCTGGGGAAGGCCGGAGTTGGACGTCTGGGCAATGTTCATGTACAGCAGTCTGCCGCCCTTTCTCCCTTACCCCACCTCTCAGTCCCTTTTCTCCTGGCTTTGCGGGGTGAGGGGGGGTTCAGATTTTATTTTTGGGTATTCGTCACCCCCTCCTCAAATGTTAGTCCTCTCTGTGGAGGCACCGCACTGTAGCCTAGCAACCGGCACATCATCTACTCTCCCCAGTTATTTCCTTCAGCCCGAAGGTTCGAAGATCACCCAGATGGACACAGAGGACACAGGGGTCAGGTGTCCATGCAAAAGTCAGTCTTGGTGACAGCTGGGCAGTGGGGGTGAAGAACAGTGAGCGTAACTTCGTAGAAATACATCCAAAGTAATGATGTTGTCACGTCTGGGATTGGGGGAGGAACAGAGAGAGGGAGGCGGAGAGATCCTTGGAGCTGCCTACCCTCCGGGGCCTGATTGTGGGGTTACACATGCGCCCCCCCCAGCCCCCGGCTCTCTGTTTTCCTTGCTAAGTAACAGGAAGAGAGGCAGAGCTGGAGTTTTTAACCAGGAACTTATTCTTCATCTGTCTGGCTAGAGAGAAAGCTGGCGTACTGAGGAAAACAAGTTCCAAGGCAGAGTGTGCCGACAATGACAGCCTTCTGCCTGAGCTGTTAGCCAGGCCTCACAGAGCCCGAGCCTGCGAGCCGCCGGAGGGGAAGCGCGGCTATCCCAGCGGGACGCCGGGCCGTCGGGGGCTGGCCCGGGCGGCAGCGGCCGGGCGGGAGCGTCGCAGCGGCGGGGCGGAGCTGGAACCGAGCGCCCGTCCTCCGCACGCACGCCGTCAGGAGTCAGGCCCTTTCCCCGCAGCAATGTTCTTCCTGCTTCTTTCTCCTATTTAATTTTTACTTATCTATTTATTGGATTTATTGGGGTGACATTGGTTAATAAAATTGTACAGGTGTCAGGGGTCCAAGTCTATAACACATCACCTGTGTATTGTGTGTTCACCACCCCAGTCAAGTCCCCTCCCATCACCGGTTTTCCCTCCTGTATCCCGTCCCCTGCCGCCCCCGCCCCCCCCGGGCCCCCCCGCCCCGTAATCACCACACCGTTGTCTGTGTCTGTGAGGTTTTTTGGTTTTTATTTTTATTTCTATTTTTTTTTTTGCTTACTCCCTTTATCTTTTTCACCCAGCCCCGCGTCACCCTTTCCATCTGACAGCTGTCAGTCTGTTCTCTGTGTCCATGAGTCTGTTTCTGTTTTGTTTAGTGTATTTTGTTCATTAGGCTCCACATATAAGTGAAATAATATGGCACTTGCCTTCCTGCGACTGGCTCGTTTTACCTACCATAATGCCGACCGGCCCCATCTACACTGTTGCGGAGGGTGAGACGTCCTTCATTTTGATGCCTGAGCCGGGGTCCGCTGTGTAAGTGCATCACAGCTTGTTTTATCCACTCATCTCCTGATGGGCCCTTGGGCTGCTTCCAGATCTTGGCTACTGTCAACAGCACTGCAATGAACATAGGGGTGCATAGAGTCTCTCAAACTGGTGCTTGGGGTTTCTTCGGATATATCCCCCAAAGTGGAAGCACTGGGCCCTTAGGAAGTTCCGTTTTTGATGTCCTGAGGTGCCTCTGCACTGCTTCCCACAGCGGCTGCACCCGTCCGCCTTCCCACCCGCAGTGCACGAGGGGTCCCTTCTCGCCACACCCTCGGCAGCACTTGTTGTTAGTGGATTTCTTGACGATAACTGTTCTGACAGGTGTGAGGTGAGATCTTATTCCGGTTTTGTCTCGTTTGCCTTGGTCTTTGTTACCTGGAAATGCAGAGCCCTTGTTCTAACTGTGCTGGGTCGCCTCGGATTGGGCTAGGAGGATCGAAACTTTTGGGGGCCCATAGTGAAAGGCCAGCTTCCCAGTGCCCTGAGTCAGTGGCTCTGGAGGGGGAGCCCTAGAAATCTGCATTTTAAGACACAGCACCACAATTCTAAAAATAACGTGACGATCACATGGCCGACAGAGGATTTCCCCACGAGGAGCGCGGGGCAGTTTCTTGGTGCTGTGCGCTGATGGATACATTCTTCATTTTTGCACAATTCCTGTCCCCACTTGGGGAGAGGGAACTCCCCTTTTTTCTTTCCTTCCCTTTTTTTCTTTCCTTCCCCACATGCTTTTATATGTCACTTAGTGGTGTTCCTAGTCTACCCAGAGAAAGGCGGCCCCGGCTCAGGTCACTGCTGCTGGATGGGCCCTGTCCAAAGCTGCTGCCCCGCCGTCACCAACACAATGGTTGGCAGGACAGAGCTGGCCAGTGTGTTGCTCGGGCAGTGAGGGGTGCTCTGCAGTGTGCAGCTTTCGCCGTGCCTCGGGTCAACCGGACATGCGGAGCCAGCTGGAGATACATGCAGAGAAACTTATTGCAAGGCATTGGCTTACACGGTTGTGGGGCTGGCCAGGCAAATCCACATCCACGGGGGGCCCTGGGAACCTGCCGAGCATCTGCTAAGCTCGCTTTTGGTCTGTGCTCTCGTGGATGTCGAGCAGTCGATGAACTCGCCCCTGTAAGGATAAAGGTAACGTCCGGGTCAACTCCCCTTTTGCAGGGAAGTGCAGCGCAGCCCGGGGGGTCAGGCCCTCCCCGCCCCCTCCGTGGTGATGGGTGGGAGCCCTCCCCTCCCCTTCGGTGATGTCACGCAAGTAACTTACCCTCTCAGCAGCTTTGGTTTTTGACCTTTAAAATGGGAAAAGAGTTGTGATGGTTACTCTTCGAAAAACCAAAAAACCCTCAGCCCAGAGCTCTTCAACCAGTGTTAGTTTCTCGCTATTATTAGAAATACCTCATCCCCAGCCCACATTTCCATGAGGAGAGATCTTTGCTCACCCTCCTGGCCTCTTCATTCCCCAGGGCCTTTCCCTTCCTGACTATTGCTCGGGAAGAGGAGGCTGAGCCCTTTTTCCCCTGGGAAGGAACTTGCCTTGGCTCTTACCTCAACAGGTATCTAATCTGAGGGGCTCAGTGAGCTGTCTGCTGGTTCTTACCCTGAGCCTCGTTCCTCCTAAGCTTCTAATAAATGGGGTTCTGTGGTGATTCATCTTCGAACTCTATTCCTCAATTCATTTAGCCACGGAGCAGGAGAGCGCCGCGCTATGAAGTTATCAGCCTCTCTGAAGTTCTGTCATTAGCATTTACACTCTTCCTCTCCACTTCTCCTAGAGTCAGACTTTTAGAATTGAAAGGAGATTTTTTTTTTTTTTTTAAATGACTGAAATTCATTTCACCTCGTTGTTTCTGAGCCCGCCGGCAGGCAGTCATTCAGCCCCTGCCTGCACATGTCCGGGAATGGATGGTGGACAAGGTGGCTTTTACAAGGGGCACCCAAGGTGTCTGGCTGGGGATACTGTGGACGGGGCTGGCCTTACCCACAGAGGGTTTGATTCCGCCGTGGTGGGCGCTTGGGCCGGTGTGTGCTCGGTATACGCTGTTCAGATGAGATTTTCTTTGGGGGACCGTGTTGCCCTGAAGCCCGGGGAGACAGCGAGTGTTCTCTGTGTTTATGGCATCTTATCCTGAGATATTCCCCACCCCATCAGAGCACCTGCCGCACCCTGAGCGAATCCTAGCTCGTGGCTTGTCTTAAACGAGGCAGGATAGGAGCCTTAGAGCCCGCTGTTGACCCTCCCGGCCTGGGTGCCCCCAGGTGCGGCCCTCAGAGCTGGGACTGCCATGAGGTCGCTTCCCGTGAGCGGAGTGGGGTGCATACTCTGGTGGCAGAAAATAAATCTGGCCGTGAAATTCTTCTTTCAGTGCCAGCGATGCTCACTGAGCGCTTCGGAACCCTCGCCTCAAATGTACGTGCCCGGTGGGAACCGACTGATTTGGGACCCGCTCGTGTCTGTTCCTTGTGCTTAACTTGAAGGCAACAGGCAGCAGGATCTAACAGATGACCAAGCCCCTTAATAACCTTTACAAAAATAATCGCTTTGTTGACTATGATCTCCCCCCCCATATTGACCTTTCTAAAGGGTTCAGTTCAGTGGTTGTTAGTATATTCATAGATGTGTAAAACCATCACCACAGACCATTCTAGAGTGTTTTCATCACTCAGCAAAGGAACCCTGTACCCATTCGCATTTGGTCTCTACTCTCCCCTGCCCCCCACCTTGGGTCTCCACTAACTTGTTTCCTGTCTCTGTGGATTTGCCAATTCTGGACATTTCATCGATGGGATCATACAATAGGCAGACTTTGTGTCTGGATTCTGTCACTTAGTGCAATGTTGTCGAAGTTCATCATGTTGTAGCATGTATCAACACTTCATTTCTTTTTATGGCTGAGTAACATTCTATTGAATGGATATACGGCATTTTGTTTATCCATCCTTTAGTTCATGGATGTTCAGGTCAGGCGGTTTCCACTTTTGGGTTATTATGAATAATGTCTGTGTGAACAGTCATGTACAATTGTTGTGTAGACATATGTTTTCAATTGTCTTGGGCATCTCTTAGTAGAAATAGTAGGTAGGTCATAGCCTTTTAAAACCTTTAAAATTGCTTTTTTGTTTGCTATTTTGGGCCTGGTAGTCCCATTCTTTGGACATATATTCACTTCCTCTGTGCTGAATGTTGTCTGTGACTTGATATAAAGTTAGCACATCTGGTAGCCAGTTTAAAGTTCTTTGTAGAAACAATTAAAAAGGATTCAAGCGAGGATAAACAGACATAAGAATGCCTATTATAGTCTCCACTAGATTATACTTGCCTTGTTCTCTTCTTTACCAAGCTTCAGTGGGAAAGTTTACAAAGACTTTTTTTTCTTTTCCAGAATCGCAATGAAATAAAAAATGGCAGCATCCTTCGATTAACTACATCTCCGGTAAGTTGACCTTCATTTATAGCTTCTCGGTGAACACTTTGCTCTCCTGTTCCTTGTTATGTGATTATGGATAGTAATTTTTGAAGTTGACTTCAGTGCAAACCAGGAGGTTTCTGGAACGTCCCCATGTGCCGCATTAGGTACCCAGGGATGACCCTTCCTATACTTCCCATTGCAAACGAGGAGGCCTTTGTTCCAGGTGAAGTGCAAGTAAACCGAGTGCAAGGTTCAGGTAGGCAGGCATCGCCGCAGTTCTCACATCACAGCTGGGGTAACTCAGCTGGACGAGGGGTGGTTCTCATCCGCCTGCCAGCGCCCACCTCCTGCTGTGCGAGCAAACCCGGACCGCAGAGTAACGAAACGAGAGACAGCCTGTTACTTCCCTGTGAAGCCAGGGGGCATGTGTGTGCGGGTGTGCGTGTGTGCGTGTGTGTGTGTGTGTGTGTGTGTGTGTGTGTGTGTGTAAGAGAGGGCTTAAGCATTTTCCAGTGTGGTCAGTTACTGTACAGTTGATAAAAATGTAGTTTAAGAAATGTTTGCACTGCTGCTATTTCGTTGACGGCTGATTCTGTTTGAAACACTTTTAAGATCTTCCAAATAAAAGCTGCCATACAAATTAGTGACGATATGGCTTATCTTTACATTTCTTACTTGCTTGTAGATGCTTTAGATAGTACCTTTCCCATATTTAAACTACATTATTTCACAGTGCATTTTATTGCCTTCCTGAAAAATAATCTGTACAAAATACACCAAGTGTTACTATTTTCACTCTGCATATGTGATGAAAACTGTGTCTAAGTCTCATTTTCAGCTTCTACTGAAGCCATGTGGTGGGCTAAAAATAAATTTAAAAATTGGGGAAAGCATCTGGCTAAAATTAAATTGTGGGTACTGTAACTACCACACATTCTTCTTGCTGAAAACTATATTAGAGAGGCTTAAAAATGCCTAAACAGTCTACCCAGTAACATCTTGAACCTAAACACAGATGAGCTCTGCAGGACGCGTTGCTGGGCTTGGCTGGCCTGCCTTTCGATGCCTTCTTTTCCACTTAATGGTAATTCTAATTTATACTCATTTTTCAGTGGCTACATTATGAGCTGAGACATTCTTGTCTGACTTAGCATTGATCTTCTTACTTTTAGTCAGCAAGAATTAATGTTAATTTGACCTTTAGAGACCATGGTTTCTCTGGGTTTCTGCAGTTCCTGTGTATCCTGCTAAACCTATTCATTTGCTTGCTGGCCAGAAAAAGTACACTTCACATTTTGTTTTGTTGTAGAATTAGAAGGACTCCATTCTTTTATTTTTGTTGTTAAATCTAGGCCTTCTCTAAGCCCAAGAAGAAGTTAGGTCTCTTTCTTTATGTCTACGTGCTCGTGAACAACATTTCCACAGTGTTAAGGCGCTCCCTGAGAGGAGGCTAGGGGTTCGCAGAGGGGAATCGTTCTGCAGCCTCAGAGCGCACACACTAACACCAGGGCATGGCTTGGCTCTGTTCAGCACCGTGGAGTCTGTCCCGTTCAGGCAATGACCTTCACAGACCCAGCGTGGAGAGGGACAGAGGTGACGCTAGTGCTCAAGGAGGTGTTACAAGGCCAAGTCCCCCTGCAGAAGACTGGTTCAACTTTCTAAGGAGCAGTGGACCCCAACCTGGACTCCTCAGAGGGGCTTTGACATGCCGATGCCTGGGCCCTTCATGAGGGCTGGGCCGCGGTGTCTGGGGATGGCGTTCAGGAGTCTGCGCTTGGAGGAGGCACGTCATGGCTTGGCTGTTGCCACAGCGGCTGGCGTTGGGAGTTACTGTGTAAGCAAGATATTTTGGATTTGTAAACTTCACTTGTTTCTGGTAGATTTTTTAAAAATTATTTTGTGTTTAACTGGAAAATATGGTTCAGCATATGCTAACTCTTTCGCTTTTTACATGTACACTAAAAATACATTTTAAAACAACTGTCTCCATCAAATTTGCTGGGAAGTGCTAGGGAGCTGCAAAGAAACCAGTAGTTGGTGTTATACGAGCTCCTACCGTCCCTTCATCTACCGTGGCTGAGCTCTCCCTGCAGCCAGACAAGAACGCACATGCCCCCACGTGCATGCACACAGGCCGGCGCGCGCACGCACACGCCGGGACACACATACACACGCCTTTGTTTTAGAGTATGTGCAGCTGTGCTGAGTTTTACCTCCACTCTCTCAAAGGTGATGCTTCTCTTGAGTTTTGCTGATGAATTTGTTTTCTGTCTTCCTCTGTCGTAGAACAACCCTTTCGGGATTGTTTCTAGCAAAATAGGGGATTAATAAGAAAAAGATCTAAAGAAAGACCACGTTGTTTTTAAAAAGCCCTTACACTTGGCCGATGGTCCTCCTTTGCACTGCATGCCTGAGACAGTCGCTGGAGTGGCCGTGGAAACCTGTGCATCCTTCAGGCGTTGTATCTATATCCACCTCCCCAGTATCATGGAAATGCAGCTGTGGACATGTCCAGCACATGTGTGCACATGTGTGTGTGTTTGGGCGCAGCCAGGGTTTGGGGAGTTTCCGGGGCTGCAGCTAAGCACTGTTTTCTTCTACCTGCTTTGGGAATAACTGCTGTGCAAATGGCTTCGGAGGTCGCATGCTGCCTGAAGCTGAGTCTCAATAAATTTTGGCTACTATTCTATTAGAAGCAGCATGGGGTTGCCAGACCATTGTTTTTACTTTCCTGAAATCTTATTTTAAAAAGTCCTTACAGTGAGTCTGTTTGTAGTCTTGCAGTGAGAAAAGCCTGGCTAAGTACAACGCACAACCTGTCAGCCATAAACAAAAAGATCGATAAAGCTTTATGTTTGGAAAGAACTTCAAAAACAAAGTCAAAAACAGCAAACTGGAAAAAAGTTGGCATTGTGTGTGATAAATAGAGGGCTAATTCCTCAGTTTGCAGGAATTATAAATAAATAAGCAAACTTACCCCAAAACAGGTGGCAAAAATGGATAAGCAAAAATGATCTATATATTTCTCTATATCAGTCTCTATCTCTGTTGATCGATATGTCTATGCATCTCTCTATCCTGACAGGCAAAGCCAGGATAAATATAAGTATAAATATAAAGTGCATATATATATAGATTTATAGCTATAGATAATAGGTATATATGTGTCTATATCTGTAGATAATAGGTACATAGAGAGATCTATAGCTATTATATATACATGAAAGAAGGAACTCAGTCTTCTCGGTAATCAAGGTGTGAGGCTAGATGCTACAGTGTTGAGAGTATAAATTGGAACAACCTCTTTGAAGGGCAATGTAGCTGTGTCCACCCACGTTTAAAATACATGAGTCTTTGTCCTGACAATTGTACTGCCAGGAATTTATCCAATAGATAGACTCATAAGGATATACACTCCCCCCCCCCCACCCCCAACATCCACTCGGGGCTGCGTGCACCATTGTTCTTAGCAATCAAGAATCCTGGTAACTCTCAGATGGGACTAGTTAAGTGCATTAGGTCATATCCATGTGACAGAACAGTGCGTAATGGTAGCAACAATGTGGCATGTGCTGCCTTCAAACATCACCAAATTGCAGTATCAAGTGCAAAGGCAGGTTGCAGATCCTTCTGTACAGAGGGACCCCAGGTAGATGCATGGAAAGAGGCGTAGAAAATGCCGAATACAGGATAAATTCATTCTCAAGGGACAACTATACAATCGTGAGTGTTGGGTTTACTTTATTTTATAACTTCTGGTAGCACTTAATGTATTTTTATACCCTGTGCTGGTATTATTTTTAATTAACTAAATGGACACCCAGTATCATAAGGTCACTACAGTATAGAGAAGGTGAGTCATAATGTTCTATGCTGAAAATATTTTAATATTTCAGACTATTCAACTTTTAAGAGTCCTTTTAGGTGTGGCCTGAATTCTTCTTGCCCATTATCTTGGCCACGTGGACATCGTAAATAAAACTGCTCATCACATACCTACTGTGGCTTTGTCGGCTCTAAGCATAGTCCTCCCTTTCTGCCCCGCCTTGTTCGGGGACCGATAGTAGCAGTGTCCCAGCCAGAGGGCCCGTTGCACTGCTTTTTGGGACTAGTTACTCTGGCAGAAAGAAACGTCGTGTTTCCTCAGTCCCTCTGTGGTTTCAGGTCCTCAGAGATCCGCGGCGATAAGACCAGTAACCATTTTCAAACTGGTTCCTCTCTGACTGGAGCAGCTGTGAAAGGGCTGTGCGGGGCTGAAGGCCTGTTTCTTGCCGTGGTTCTGTGAGCCTGCATCAGAGTGCAGTAGCCAGGAGAGCGGGCACCCAAACAGAGGAGGGACAAGGCCCCCTGGCCGCTGCCCAAGGACAGATCGCCGGGTGGCCAGGGGCAGGTTAGGGGTTTGTGACCATAGTCCAGGCAGCAGGTGGAGGCGTGCGGGCTGCGGCGGGGCAGGGAGGGCCTGAAGGAGTGTGTGGAGGGGAAGGCCCGGGCTTCCTGGGGATGGATGTGGTGAGGACGTCCCTGGTGTCTGGGCGTGGTGCGCAGTGGAGCTGTTTGCTGGATGGGAGGCTTGGGGAGGAGAAAATGAAGGGTGTCAGGTGCCTGTCACGTGTCCAGAAGGACGTGTCAACCAGGCGGTCAGGAGTGTGTGTTGGGCAGCCATCACCAGGTACGTGGCTGGGAAGGCCAGGGGCTGGATGAAGTCGCGTAAGGAAGGTAGAGCCCTGGGCACACTCCCAGGTTTGGAGGAGGAGCCGGCCAAGAAGCCAAGGGAAGAGGGTGTCTCAAAGGGGGGGGGCGTGAGGTGTGTTATAGGCGGCCGGACAGCAGGGAAGTTGAGGGAAGTGACCCCTGGATCTGCCGCCTGGGAACACTGATGGCATCCTGGAGACCGCCCTCCTTCCCCTGCCCGGTGTAGCGGTGAGGGTGGACGCATCATCGGGGAGGGAGGAGAGAGGAGGCAGCTTTGGACCTACTCCTCACTGCAGAGCTTTGGCTGAGTGCAGGAGCCGGGAAATGAGGGC